CCCCCTCATGATTCAGATAGGAAGAGGGACATTGTGTGGGACCTTGGACTTCCAAAACTATTTCAACATAAATTTGCACAGTATCTTTGAACCCAAGAGTAGTGAATTGTGATGAAATGTGAAACAAATTACAATCAAAGCTGTTTTCATAATTCAATACATTGAGGCCGGAGCATGGAGTGATTGTTTCTCACCTGTCTATGCTTTATGTGAAGCCTTTCTTGAGGGCTTTGGAGAAAAACTGTTCAGAAAAACTAAGAGGGTATTTTTATTATTACATTTGGCATTTCCATAACAGAGTTTTACTGTGTGAAGAACAAGTACCTGTGTATCCTAGGTACTGGGAGAATATGGCAAGGTGCAGACGTGTGGCCTGCTTCTACGGTATCTCAACACTCAGTTTATTAAAAAGAATAAATTGCCTGATATAAATGAGCCACTCATGGAAATGAGGAGCATTGGATATGCATGCACAGGTAACTGATGTCTGAGACACTTTGGAACATCCTTGTTCAAATAGTGCTCTGAGAAATTTTTTTAAAATGTGATGCAGAAGACACACACCAGAAGTTATCCATGGAGTTGTTAACTACTTTGTTCATGTTGAACATCATAAAAATGTCCTTTAACATTTTATCAAGAGTATTTTATATTGAGGTCATACTCTTATGTGAAATAAATAAATACCAAATAGTTTCTCTGGTATGAGAAACTAAAAGTGTAAATAAAATGCAAATTGTATAACTGACAATGTGAAATAGGAAGAACAGAGCTAAAGGTGTAGGGGAAGTGGGATGGGTAGGGGAAAGGAAATAAGGGAAAAGAAAAAATATGAGAAAAGGAAAAAGTGGAAACAAATTCATTGTAATTAGGGGAGTGTGGAGGGGTGAAGGGAGGCAAGGGTATGGGGAAAAATGAGAACAAAGATCTGTCATGTAACAGTACAAGATCCCAATGAATACTATAACTGTACTGTATACTTAAAAAGTACCAATAAACTCAATGGGAAAAAAAATATACTTTGAAGGGGCTGGGGATTTAGCTCAGTGGTTCCGCCCTCTGCCTCACAAGCACAAGGAAGGACCCAAGTTTGATCCCTGGTACAAAAAAAAAGAAAAGAATATTTTGAAACTCTCTTTCTGACTGAAACAGTAGAGTTTATAAACAAGAAGCTTCAGATATATTACTAAAATCAAATTGCTCACAGTGTATGGAAAATGTTCAAGGTAGATTAAAGGATTAAGAAATTTTATGTCAAAAATACATCCAAGTTTGTATACTAAAGTAATTCATGAATGTCAGCAATGAGTGATAGCAGACCACTTACAGTTTTTACATGCAGAAAGTCATAATATCATTTGACAAGACAAAATAAAAGATGCAGTAAATGTGCCTGTCTTATTCCATGCTGTGTCTCCTTGGTTACTTCGTATGATTCAGGAACTAGAAATCACACCTATGATGAGGGCCCCAGAGCAGCCAATATCCTTACTCAGGAAACTGTGCCAATACTGTTTGTGGAGCCCATTCTGGAAATACATGGCAAATTTGCTCAGCTTATCAACGCTGTTTTGACTGTGATCAGCATATTATGGTACACTGGATAAGGCCCTTACATCAGTCATAAATTCTAGAGAACTCAAATCTGTTTGCAAAGCACTTGTACTGTTTGCTAAGCACTGTGGCAAATTACTAAAGAAACCAGCAAAAGGGCTAACTGAGAATGAAATATAAGACAAATTAGTGAGCTTTATTACAGTTTGCAAATATATCCATTTATCAGTCAGTACTTACTAGAGAAACAGATTAAATGCAATATAGATATTTACAAGATGCCTTGCATTGACCTCTCACAGAATCATATGTGAAAGAGCAGAAAAGGCCTTTCTGGACTCTGGAAATACAAAGAACCTAGTCAGAGGCCTGGAGCCCACTGTAGTGTCCTTGCAAGTATATATTAGGAAGCTGAAGGGTCTGCACTGCAAGCCAGGAAACATCAAAGGTGATGGTAATAAACGGAGCTCCTCCAAAGAAAGAGAAATGAACTTTCTTTCTTCACTTCTCTTTTGTACATTCTGGCAACAACCCTCCCTACTGTGGGTCTTCTACACCCAGAACTATGCTGAGTCAATTTAGTTAGGCACCTCTTACTCAAGTTGACCCAATCAGTTAACTAGGGCAGTTGATAATAAGGAAGTTAGTCAAAAGTTCTATTCATGAATATTGGCAAAATTCTTAATTTAATACCTATGGCTATGGATTCTCAAGAAGCTATAATCAATAAATTAAAGCAAGCCTGTAGTTATGAGTTTTCCAGCAAGCCACATCATATATGTATATTTATAAGTATCAATGCCAATCTCAACAATAAGTTCAAAGGCTTTATCAGAAATCAAACATGGTAACAGACTTGAGAATTAGTTCCCAATTCCTTGGTGTAGGGCTTCTTAAAGTCAGCTATAACTTGCTGACCCATAGGCTGCAGTTGAAGAATTGCATTAGGTGGGAGGAAGTCTACTGAGAGCCATGGGAAAACCTCAGCCAATTCTTCCAAATCTTGTGGGTGGGCAGGAGCACTGTCCATGATGAGGAGAGCCTTTAGTGGTAAACTTTCATCCTCTAGATACTTCTTAACAGTAGGACAGAAAGCCTCCCTGATCTACTCAAGAAAAAGTGCTCTTGTTACCCAGGCTTTTGCATTAGATCTCCACATCTAACCTATTTATGTTTTCTGAACACTCCGTGGGTCTGAGAGTGATAAACCAAGAAAGGCTTTATATTGAGCTTACCACTCACATTGACACATAGCAATAAGGTTAGCCTATCCTTCATAGGCTTGTGGCTTGGCACCTTCGTCTCTTCCTGGGTAATGTATGTTCTCCTGAACATTTTCTTCCAGAAAAGGCCAATTTCATCACAGTTGAAAATCTCATGAAAGCAAAAGCCATTTCTCTGGGTCATCATTTTGAAGTTGTGTATGTAATTTTCAGCAGCCCTTTTATCAGCACCGGTTGCTTCACTGTGCCTAGTTATGTTATGAATCCCAGTTCTTATTTTAAAATTGAGACACCGCCCCTTAGTGGCATGTTCACCATTATCACTTATTGATGGATTATCCTTTACATGTTTTGTATTTATAGCCCTAGCTTTTGTGCAAATTATAGACTCAGATAGGATATAGCCTGCCATCTGCCTTTTATTTATCCACAATACTAGTAGCCTTTCTACCTTGTCTAACATGTTGACTGTGACTCCCTAATTTGAGTAACACCTTTAGCAACATTAGCTTCCTCATACCAATCTTTTCTCTGTAAGATTGTCAAGATGGTGGGCTTTGACATGCCATACATATTAATGAGATTGGTCACATGAACACTACTCTCATATTTCTCCTCAATTTCTTTCTTCTTTTTTATTGTGATTGCTTTCTTTACTTTATCTTCCTTCCTTGGCTTCTTTTCTAGCTTTTTTGGAGATCATTTTTATAGCAGTAATTGTATTTATTATATAAAGCACTGACTGAAATCACATCCACAAATATGCACATCTGGGCTCAGGTTGATGCTTACATACACTTTTATTGGTATCGTGAGTATTTGTTTACAACTGCATGAGCATCTGGCATTCAAGTCATAATTCAAGATGTTGTCTATAAGTTAAAAATAAAATTGCAGTCATAACCTAAATTGTTCACATATGATGCCAGTCACAAATCAAAAGCCCACTGTAGTTTGTCCAGAGTAAGCCTCTGTTCCTTAGCCTTCAACTCAGGGGCATTCATGGGAAGTTAGTCTAGTTTAGCCCCCAAATATGGATAAGCAATGAGAAGCTTGAAAATGCTCAGTTTATAATCTCTGCATGAAGGAGAGAGAAGTCCTCGTGAAATGAGAGCATCTCCAGTGTGGGCCTTGGCCATGTTCTCTGCTGAAAGGGCAGAGGAAGGAAGCAGTGAGGAATGAGAGGAAATCGCCAAGGTCACTCCACATGTAAAACACTTAGTCCTGATGTGGGGCGTACTCCCACTATCTTTAAGCATTCTTTCCCCAACTCTAGTCAAGGCTGTCCCAAATTAATGTGGAAAACAGCCACTCTCTAACAATTTAAAAATAAACTAGATACTTCATAAACATTGCACTCTAGGCAGAAAGAGAGTCTTCGGTGTCCAATCGTATTTTATAGGCCTCAAAACCTTACTAATGATGTAAACTAAGACTTGTTCCAAGAGGGGCTTTGAATCCTGATGTACAATTGAAGTTCTGTCACATTCAGCAAAGGCAAAGGGGACTTCCTGATAAAGAGAACAGAATGGGTCTGCAGTCAGCATTAACAGAACATCAGAACTTATAGTGGATATTAACAGCATATACTTCATTCTAAAATGTCTCCTTTCACTGGAGGGTAATAATTTGTTTACTCTAGTGAAATAGAGATGATCTGTAAATGATTATGGTGCTTGGTCATATGAGGAAAACTTGAAAATCTCTTGGTTGGGTTAGAACTTTTATTGCACCTAATACTCATGCATATTGGTCATAGTGCTACTCTCTTCTTCAGCCTCTCTCCCTCTCCCTCTCCCTCTCTCCCAGGCTCCCTCTCTCCCTCCCACTTTCATCTCTTTCTGATTAACTCTTGAAGAGTTCAATATTTTTATGTATTACCCAATTTTCTGTGTTGGCTTTATCTCATCTTTTCCTTCTTTCTCCTAACATCTCTCCCTCTACTCTGATATATTCCAGAACTCCTCTACATTGTTATTTTCCCATTCTCTCTTCTCTGTGCATTTAATCATGTTCTCTATAATTCTATATTCATTATTATAATTTTTGCATTTGGGTTTTTTTGTAAGGAAATACTTTCTTAAAGACTGTGTTACAATCTTTGTAAAATTCATAAGAAATATATGCATATATTTCAAATCAATATTTATTTATTGTTATTGACATCAGCGAATGAAAGCTGGTAAAAGAGCTGGAAATTTTAACCTGCATGTTTGTTGTTCTTAGAGACAGAGAACTTTCCTTTTGATGGTTTGATGGTTTCATTTTACCCTGGGCTTAACTGCTTCTTGATACTCTGAAAAGACAACAGGTGTTGGAACAGGTATAAGAATCCACCACGGTCTACAGCATTTCCACCTTCTCCGGCAGCCACCAATTTCATCTTCTGTTAGCTTACAGGTGGTTCTTCTGCAGATGCCTGACAGGTTGAGACAGTGGCCTTCAGCAGGACCTAAACCGCTTCTTACTGCAGAAGAAGAAAGCTGGTGAGACAGTCAGCATGTGGAAGGAAGGTAAAGCCACAACAGCTCTTACACGTGAGAACAGAATCATTCTGGCACAAGTTTCTGTATGGGGAAAAATTGGTTGAAAGATTTAATTATAGACTGTATTGACCTGCTCCCTAAGTTCACTCTCTACTCTGTCCACAACAGCTCAAGTACTAACAACCCCTTCACTTTCTTTCAAATAAACTCTTGGAGTGTCTAATTAATTTCAAAAATAATTTTGGTAAATATAAAAGTAAAACTAATTTTGGGTAGGCAAAATATGTCCTAAAATCACTAATTTTTTCATTACTTTATTCTATTATATAAGTTTTCACAAAATATTTATTGAGTGCTATTTTCCAGGTACTTTTCTTTGCAAGGATAAAACATAGAATGGAAAAATATTTCTTACTCACACAGAATATATATTCAATGAACAAAAGTCTAACTTTCCAAAACTAAAATTAACCATGCAAAACTAGAAAGGTATAAGTGCTTAAAACATAAAATACAATAATGGGCCATAAATTTGGGAATATGGAATTGGTATGAGAGACACAGAATGATTTAGGAGACAGCATTTGAACTGATTTCAGAAAGATATGGTGAGGCCACTATACATATATAGAATAGCAACAATGTCATCTGGTAAGTTTATTTAGAGAACAAAAAGGAGGATTTTGTAGAAAAAAGCAAATTGGAAAATAATTTTATAAAAAATAAGGTGAGACAAAAATGGTTTCAGATAAAAATAAGATAGGATCAAAATCACACACGGCTTCTAAGCGATGGTCAAGTTACCGATTGACATATACCACATCGCAGTTGTCTTCCATCAACTTCTTTGATAACCCAAATGGAAATTCTTGTTTTAAAATGATACTTTACCTTTTCCATGTCCTGCTCCCCCCATGCCATAGGCTTAATTTCAAAGTTTCATGGGACAATATCGTGCAGTGTTATGGTTTATGTCTAGATGTCCCCCAAAATCTTCATGTGCTCGTAGGTGGGGCAGACGTTTCCAAAAACCAATGTTTCAGGTGACCTCGGACCACCCTATGATTACTATACTCCTGCCTACCTTCTACCAAGCTTCTCTGTTCTTATCTCTCCCTCAAGGCCTCACTTGCCCAGAATCTCTGTAAGTGCATGAACAGTTAGAAAGGTGCTAGTAATGTTTTATTATTCAATCTTGAAAAATATACTACTACATTTTTCTTATAAATTCCCCTTCTGTACCTTTTTAGTGTCATTTTTATCTTTATTTAGATTTTTTTGTTTCTAAATCATATTTATTGCTGTTTTCATCAATCTCTGTGCTAATCTTTGTATGCAGGAGATAATTTAGCACCCTACCGTAGTAAAGACTACAGTAATTGTAAGAGAAGTGAAGATTGAGGTTATCATCTCTTTTAACCATTTTGAACCATGGCTTTTAACTATTCAGTGAATGGATCAGCAATTTTAACATGTTTTGTCAATTTATTGGCCAACATTGTGATCCTTATAAGGCTTTTGTGATAGTTCCACCTGGAACTGTATTATTGGGAATGGTACATTTCCCCCTAAGCATGACATCGACATCTTTTTTATGTTAACATCATAGCTAGTGTAATTCTATTTTTCCAGGCCATCTATCTGATGGCATTTAGCTGGCTGGATGCTCTTTGTAAGGCCTCTCTGATATAGTTGATAAATTTCTGTTGATTATAATATATAATCAATCGAATTTTCATTTTTGCTAATAGTGGGCCACCAGAAGCTATCTGATTTCATGACTTAAATTTATTGAGAACTCCTCTGGGCACCACAATTGAATCAACATATGAATGAGGGTTGGAGGATTCTGATAAGGATCTTTGAGTTTGAGAAATCTCTTGTTTAGAGAGCTGACAGAACACTGGTGGTGTTAAGGAGGTAAGCCAGCAGACTAAGGCACACATCCTGGTCAAATTTGGTGGTAGCAATCTACAGAGGTTCCTTTTTTATAATACCACCAGACATCAGCCTGGAGAATTATAAGAGATGCATACTTGCTTGGTCAACCAGTGACATTTGGGATGTGGTTGCGGGTAGTCTGGCCTCTAATGGGTTCAGTGAATTGTTCTCCCTGCCTAGAGAGGCAAGAAGAATATTTCACTTTCCCTATGGAAAAGGAAGGACTTCCTCTGGAGCCACAAGGAAAAGCAGAAACAGACTCTTAGAAGTCTCATTTTCCCGAGCATCCTTTTCCTAATATAAAGTCAGCATACAACAAATTCCATCAGGATCAGTGTCCCATCCTGCAAGGAAAGGCGCCTTCTGTGCCTGTGGCACAGCACTCACTGTTGTGAAGAGCCTGCCCTGAAACTTTTACACATTCAACCCAGGCATCCATCACCCTACATCCTGCCTCCATCTCTAAAGCTTGTCTTAGGTTCTTTATTGTAACTTTTTGTCTTTGTAGCATCATTTTTTCATGAGTTAGGATCTAAGGCTGGAGTAGATGTTGACTGAGGTGAGTTACATTTAACCCTAAGGGCAAGCCCGCCTGTGATTTTTGTTCCTAACCTGCATTCTCCAGGTGCCATTTTGTCTTTGTCTAGAATGGCTGGGTTGTTGATAGCTATGAGTATTCTAGGTCCTGGCAGTTATTTGGAGGGGAGCCTTTGGATGTATATAGTCCACCTTTTGAGGGTATCACATTTGGTGTTTCCTAGTTGTCACAAGGAAGGGTAGAGAGCTGGGTTTGGGAATTTTCCACCTGTGAGAGTTGTCTCTGACTATTTAAACTATTACAAGACAGAACTTCGCAGGCATCAAATCTTTAAGTTAGAGCTATAATTTTAGTATCAGCCCAACAGGTTAGTAGAGAGTCCTTTTAAAATTTGCCCACCCCACCCTAACCTCTAATTTTTTATACTTCAGCCATTTAGCTTCCAGAGAGGCCGGCTATTTTCTTTCTTTGAGTCAGCTTTAACAGTTTCTCAAATGACCATGATACCTCCTGATAGTCCACCATGTGTCCCTTGAGCCAAATACACTCAAACCACCCTTTTCTGGAAGTCCTCATGGCCATGTTGGTGGTCAGGAGCACTTACTGATACAGGTATTTATTGCTGTGAATTTTTCCCTAAAAACTGTTTTTGTTGCATCTCATAAAATCTGGAATGTTGCATTTCCAGTTTGGCTTTTCTGTAGACATTTTTATTTTTCATTGTTGGCCCATGGTTCTTCAAGAACATGGTGTGTAATTACCATGCATACATGAGTTTTCAATACTTTATCAATGATTACTATTTATACCATTGTGGCTGAAAATATTACTTCAAGATTTCAATGTTACATTTTTAAGAATTGTTTTATTGTGTTCTGTAGGCTCTCTTATGGAAAACCATATGCACTTGAGCATAATGAGTATTGTGCTGCTGTTGGGTGGAATCTTCTCTAGACGTCTGTAAAGCACATTTGATTGAAGGTGTAGCTCAACCTTTATATTTCATTATTGACTTTGTTTCTGGATGACCTCTTTGTGTTCAAACACTCTTTCTTCTGCTAATTAATGAAGAAAGCTCCTTGTTATTGTTCGTTTCACCCAATGTATTCATATCCAGAATTTTTTGTGATTTCATTTTTTGTTAAATGTCACATTTTGCTCACTATTTTCTGATTTTGTTAAATTGTTCTTCTGTATTTTCTTGATATTTTCTGACCTTACAGCTATTACTTTGGATTCTTAATCATATAGTCTATACATTTGGAGTCAGATAATGGAAAATTATTTGCTTTTTAAAAATTATATTTCCATCATTTTTTTGTAATTTATTTTTTGGTACATTCAAGGTATACGATAGAACGACATTCGTCATTGGAAACTTGCACCTTCACATAATCCATCTTGGTTCTTATTTTTCCCCATCCCCCTGCCCTCCCTTCAACCCCTCCACCCCTCCCTATCTACAAAGACTTTGTTTCCATTGTTTCTTTTTCTCATGTTAATTCCATTCCCATCTTTCTTTTCCCCTACCCCTTCCATTTCCCCTTCGCCTTTGCACCTTTTCTTCCTATTTCACATTATCTATCATACCTTTTACTTCTTATTTACACTTTCAGTTTCTCACACTAGAGAAACTATTCTTTATTTACACATATGCATCTTATTTATTTCATTCACTTGAGTATCGCATCCATTTAGCACAAATGTGCATCCATTTAGCACGAATGTCTCTATTTTCTCATTATTTATGGCTGAGTAATACTCCACTTTATTTTTTAAAAAAACATTTTCTTTGTCTAGCCTCCTGTTGATGGGCAATTGGGCTGCTTCCAAGTTTTAGCTATCATGAATTGTGCTGCTATGAACATGGGTGCACATATATCACTGTATTATGATTCTTTTAATTCTTTAGGAAAGATACCCAGCTGGGGGATAGCTGGGTGAAATGGGACCTCTAATCCTAGTCCTTTGAGGTATCTCCATACTGATTTCCACAGTGGTTGCACCAGTCTGCACTCCCACCAGCAGTGGAGAAGGATTCCTTTTTCCCCATAGCCTTACCAGCATTTGTCATTGGTTGATTTCAAGATAGCAGCCATTCTTTCTGGGGTGAGGTAGAATCTCACTGTCATTTTCATTTGCATTTCTTGAATGACCAGTGAAGTTGAACATTTTTCCATATGTTTATTTGCTATTTCTACTTCTTTGTCTGAGAAATGTCTGTTTATTTCAGATGCCCATTTTTTAATCGGGTCTATAAATTTTGGAGGTCTGATTTTCTTCAGTTCTTTATGTTTTCTAGATAGTAGACCTTTGTCTGAGGAAGAGCTGGTGAAAACTTTTTCCCGTATTGTGTGTTGTCTCTTCGTACTATTGATTGTTTCTCTTGCTGTGCAAAAGCTTTTTAATAAGAGACCCTGCTTGTTTTTTGTGCTAGTTCATGGGTAACTGAGGTTTTATTCATAAAATCTTTTCCTACACCAATGTCTTCAAGAGTTCTAC